TCCTTAATCTTACTGATACTGAGAAATTAGTGGAGATGCCATTGCGAATAGGCAAGTTGATAAATCTTCAAATTTTGTCCAAATTCAGTGTTGCAAAGGACAGTCAGTTTGGCATTAGAGAATTGAAGGACTTGTTACATTTAAAAGGGGAGCTTTCCATCACTGGGTTGGAAAATGTGGTGCATGTTGGAGATGCGGATGCTAATCTAATGGACAAGCATGGTATTGATGGCTTACATTTGAAATGGGGTACTGAGTTCCTTGATCACCAAAAGGAAGAAGATGAAATGCTTGTTCTTGACATGCTAAAACCTAGTAAGAATCTGAAAGAACTTACAATTTCATTTTATGGTGGTACAAGATTTCCTTCTTGGTTAGGAGATCCCTCATTCGCTAATATTGTGCACATGAACCTTAATGACTGCAGTAAAAGTATGTCACTTCCATCACTTGGGAGACTGCCATCATTGAGGAAGTTGTCCATCCAAGGAATGAATAGAGTTAAGAAGGTGGGTCTTGAGTTTTATGGTGATGATTTGCCTTCTACTAAGAGGTTTCCGTCCTTGGAAATTCTGTGGTTTCAGAATATGGTAGAATGGGAACATTGGTCTTATACTCATAAAGGTGATGAAGATTTAGATGATGAATTTCCTTCTCTTCGTGAGCTCATGATAAAAAATTGTCCAAAGCTAACTGGGGACTTACCAAGACATCTTCCTTCCCTTGTGAAGCTTATCATCAGTCATTGCCCAAAGTTGGAGGGTTCACCTATGAGCCTCCCCTCCCTTTGTGAATTAAATATTGAAGGCTGGAACAAGGAGCAACTGAAAAATATTGTTGACGTTACTTCCTTAACAACACTGAGAATCCAAAGTTTTAGGGACCTTGTATGTCTGTCGCAAGAGATGCTACAGTCTCTAGGTGCACTTCAAACCCTTGATGTATCCAATTGCACTGAAAAATAAATGCAAGATGTAGGTCTTACATATTTTCATGATTGAGTTTCAATGTCCTCTTTTCCAACAGTCAAATAGAAACAAAACACTATTTGTTATGCATGACCTTATAAATTATTTAGCTCAATTTGTTGCTGGAGAAATATGCCTTTATTTTGAGGATACCTTTGAAGACAAGCCACATGCATTTATTGCAAAGCTTCATCATTTGTCATTCACTCGCCACCAGCATGAGATTTCCAAAAGATTTGAAGCGTTAGATGCTGTGAAACATGCCCAAATCTTATATCATATCCTGAGATAGGTTGCTTGTCCACACTTAGACATCTTACGCTGAAAGATTGTGTAGCTCTTAAGAACCTGCCTAATTGGAAGATGATGCTTAATTACAGAACTAGTGATTGTCTTCTTGAAGACTTGGAGATTGAGGAATGTCCTTCCCTCACATACCTTCCAGGTGGCAACATGCTTACCAGGTTGCAAAGGTTGAAAATCCGAGGTTCTACAAATTTGCAGTCTCTACCAGAGGGAATCATGCAGAAAAATAACGACACACACTCGTGGGAACTTTAGAGCTTGGAGATTGATGATTGTCAATCTTTAACATGCTTTCCTGGAGGCATATTACCATTTAGTCTTCAAACACTGAAAATTTGTGTTTGCTCAAAGCTGGAACCACTTTCAGAGTGGCTACTACACAACAATGCATCACTTGAATACATCTCTATGTGGAACTATACAACTCTCAAAAGTTTTCCAGAATGCCTATATAGCCTCACACATCTGACTGAGTTATTTATAAGTAATTGTCCAACTTTAATCTCCTTTTCAGAGCCAGGCCTCTCACCCACTTTGAAAACCTTAGAAATCCACAATTGTGCCAATCTCAAATCTCTACCTGTGAGGATGCAAAATCTTACCTCTCTTCAATATCTAACAGTTTGTGAATGTCCATGTCTTGTGTCGTTTGCCAAAGAGGGTTCGTCCTCTCAACTATTGGTGCTGGAGGTCTGGGATTGCATAAATTTGAAGGAGCCAATGTCAGAGTGGAACCTACACTCTCTAGCCTCTCTTAAAGAGCTCATCATTGTTGGTGCATCGGATACAGCTTCCTTCCCAGATGAGAAGTGTTTGCTTCCTACAACTCTCACTTCTATAGTCATATCTAGACTCAACAGTCTGGGATCTCTATCCACAGAACTGTATAACCTGACCTCTCTTGAATAGCTAAAAGTCAGCAATTGTCCAAAGCTTCAATAGTTACCAAGGGAAGGAATGCCTGCAAAACTTGGAAAACTTTGTATCAGAAACCGTCAACTTCTACAACAACACTCAAAGAAGAAAGGAGCATATTGGCCATTGATAGCCCACATTCCTTGCATAGGAATAGATGGTATCTCTTCTTGTTTTCAGTTATGTTTGGATAAACTTTTGTTGGACTGCTTTTTTATTCGCTTCTTGCTGGACTACTTAATCCTTGTTGTAATGGACTCTGCACTCTGGCACTGCATTGGCAAATTAAATTCAAAAATGACCCAGCCATTGAACTGTTGCAAGTGAGCAGTTCTTGGTATCAAATTGTAGGAGACTGGTGGTGGTGGATTGGAGGAGGAGGAGGAGAACCGGCGAGCCCTTTACCTTTGCTCAGAGCTACTGTAAGATCAATGACTGGATT